ATGAACTTAATACACTAGATGCATGCTGGATAGTGGTCGATGTGTGAAGTAATAGTAGTAGATGCAAAATCATTTTGGTCTACTAATCTTGGATGTGATGCATATATACATGATCATTGCCTTGGATATCGTCATAATTATTTGATCTTCTATCAATTGCGCAACAGTAATTTGTTTACCCACCGTATGCTATTTTCTCGAGAGAAGCCACTAGTGAAATCTACGGTCTCTCGGTCTATTTCCTATCATATTATTTTCAGATCTATTATTCCAAAAACCCAAAAATACCTTGCTGCACTTTTTCTTTATTTATTTTATTTTGTGTTTTTGCTAGATCTATTTATCCAATCTCATACAATTTAATCTATCTCAATACCGAGGAGGGGTTGACAACCCCTCTTACGTGCAAGTATTTGTTATTTGTGTGCAGGTGTTGTTTACATAGTGTTGCTTGGTTCTCCTACTAGATTGATAACCTTGGTTTCATAACTAAGGGAAATACTTATCGTTGTTGTGCTGCATCATCCTCTTCTCTTCGGGGAAATACCAACGCAGATACAAGCAATCAAACCATATCAATAATATCGTAGTTTACCGCAATAAGATTAATAAAACTAATCTTAGTCTTTGGATCAAAGTAAGAATAGAGTTTACAAACCCTAGCCTTATAAGTCGCATTCCTTATTTACGACGGTGTTGTCAATGATGGAATGGAGAATTGGTCTGCTGGGGGAACCGGAACGGATCTAAGCGAAGCGATTCTCCTCTGGATCTCTGTTTCTCTGCTCTGGTTATGGTTTGAGGGTGTTCTGTTGTTCTTCTCTATAAATCCTTAATACAAAAGTTGCTTCTATAGATGAGAGGGATGCAACGGCTCCTGGTATGACCAGTGGTACGAATGGGGCTGCTCGTACCACTCGCCGTATTCTGTTTCGTTGAGAGTAGATGAAATCTTTCCAACGAGAAAGTCACCCATCTCCTCCTCTATCATCCCAATATACTTCAAGCCCTTCCAAAAGTGTTTAACTTGAAAACATGTAAGGAAACAAGGTTTCTCTAATATCGGTAAATAATCTTTAATGAATAGGTGAAACCCGAAGAGTAACTTCGAACCAGACATTTCACATGTTATTTCACTTGAACTAATATTTAATTAAGTATTTGAAGTGGTTTGTACTTACGTTATGGCCTCACTTCACAAGGTGACGTTTATGTTTTCTGAACAACGAGAATGGACCCGAAGATCCTAGATGAAAAAATGTTACAACACCAAACAAGGACCCATAGAAAGATAAAAAAACACAAACAAATCCTTTAATTATGCAAACATGACACCTTAATTGAAATGCATTGCAAGTACATGTTCGACCACTAGATCCATCAATTTCCGCTCACTAACCCTAAGCCTAGCTTTGCCTCGTCACACATTGATTCTTCGGTTAAGTCTTGTTGCATCGACAGTTAGCCATTAACACATCGATGCATGATTATGAAATGTGTGCCGCACTTGGCAGGAGGCACATGAAAGAGAGTGCCACATCACCCTGCTCACTGTAATGAGTGTATTATTTGGTAAAACATGGTTCATAAACAAAATTTATGTGTGTATTATTTGGTAAAAACTATAAAAGAACAGAATTTGGTTCGATTCATAGTTGTATCACAAAACACCTTTCTCCACAAGGAAATATATGAAAATTCGAAGCAAAAAATGTTGGTTCCAAGGTCTTGTGGCACGACATGCATGCACCAAGCGAAATGTCATTAAGTGCATGCAGGGTAAGACACATATAATGACATCACTACATTAAAAGCTACTCCCAGAGATAAATATTATTTTGCAGGTAAAATCATTGGCTTGATTGAAAAAGCCTTGTTCACTGTCATCTCTTCGTAATTTCACCTGGGGTATGTTTCGACAACCTTTTTGGGACTTTTTTTAACACAATACAGACGCAGGTGCTCATATACATGCGCATACACTCACCCCTATGAACGCACACACGGACACCCTACCTTTATGAGCACCTCTGAAAGACTGAGCCGGCATATCATCTTGAAATTTCCGAAGTCATCATAGGCACCTCGTCATCGACGGGAACGTCTCCTCCCACTGAATGCGCATAGCCGGAAATCCTGAAATAAATACGAGCACCAGGATTTAAACCCTGATGGGCTGAGGATACCACAGTCTCTCTAACCATCCAACCACAGGTTGGTTCACTTAGGACTCTTTTGTTACTATGTAGCATTCCTTTGTAAACTAACATTTCACGTGGGGCATGATTCATCTTATATTTTACACACTAGCTATGGATCTTTTTCTAAAGAAAATGTGCCGATTTTGGTACCAATACATTAGCACTCGTAAGTTCGTAAATCATTTGGTGGCAAGATATGTTTTGATAGTAAAACTGGATTCTTCTATTACCATGCAATAACACTCTCACCACCATCATTCTTGTAACAAGTTACCGCATGGTAACTTTGGTACAATATAGGGGCAACTTCGTAAATCATTGGATGGTGATTTTTTTATGGAAACATATGGATATGAGATAAAGTTCACATAATGAAGCTCTTGTTGAGACAAAGCCAACTATGAAGATGGGTTGATCCCCGTACAAGTCAATGGGATGAGTAACTCGTAAGACAAATGTTCTGGCATGCTGACTGCAACCGAATATTAGCTATACCGTTACCAAACTATGACATGGAGGATTTCCTAGCGTATGTCAAAGAATTTCCAGTTCTCTCTCAAATCGGCGTACTATGTGGAATGGGACCACAAGTTTGGGAATAATCTCTGTTGGTCAAATGGCCAAGGTGCACCAGAAAACGTGAGTGTGTGGAAGAAAGTTTGGGAACTAGGCTGCCCAGCAAAAGTCGGAATTTTCACTTGGAAAGCGTTGCATGGTACCCTAGCATGTGGTGTCAATTTGGCCCAGAGACATATCAAGGTGTCGCCGCAATGCCCCTGTTGCAAGGAAGGGGCTGATACTACGGCTCATGTGTTGTTTCAATGCCCTGCCGCAAGGAACGTCTGGGAAGAGCTTGCTTTGGAGAAACTAATTCAAAAGGCTTGTCTCATTGATAGGGTGGGAGAAAGTATATTTGGATTCCTATTGGAGATGCCGCAACATGAAATGATGGGCCAGAAACAGGAAAAGATGCATGAAATGATAGCAATAACCTGCTGGTACCTATGGTGGGAAAGGAGAAAGCTACGCCATGGAGAAAAGGTTCAAACTGCTAACCAGATTGCTACTTCTGTTAGAGTCCTTACATCTAACTACACTGCTGCGGCCGCCCCTAAAGCTAAGAGGAAAACAGGAGGATGGGAAATCCCGCCTAGAGGACATGTGAAATTGATTGTCGATGCATCCTTTGATGATGATCTGCTTGTAGGGACGGCAGGTGCAATCATCAGAGATGACAGAGGTAATTTTATCAGCGCGGGTAATTGGAAACTTGATTTCTGTTATGATGTTCTTTCAGCCGAAGCAACTGCATTGCGATATGGTTTATCTTTAGCACAAACTGTAGGCTGTAATAAGGTCATCATTAACTCTGATAATTTGGAAGTGGTAAATACAATGAATGAGGGAGGAAGATCGGCAGGACCAGCAGCAACAATCTTCGACGACTGTTATCACATGGCATGTGATTTTCTTTATACTTCCTTTGTGCATTGCCCCAGAGAGGCAAATATGGTTGCCCATGAACTGGCAAATTTGGCAAAGGGGCCTTTATGTAGTAGTTTCTTTGATAAGGCTCCTAGTGAACTTATCCCGCTTTTACTTAGCGATGTAACTCTTGTAACACCGTAATGAAGTGGGATGATTTGTTTCAAAAAAAAATGAAGACGGGTTGTAACTACCGTTCACATTTTAGGAGTTAAAACATTTTAAAAATTCAATCTTCAGAAGAGTCAAGATAATATCGGTTGATACATCCTATTTTGTATGCATGCAAATTACAATGTTATTGAGTCGTGCCGAAGCATAATAGAGAGTACGTTCGCATACTGTTTTTAATTAAAAACAACTTATTTTTGCGGGAAAAAGTAATACTAATATTGTGAGTGGATTTTTTAAAAAGAAATACCCATAACTTTATTCAAACATGATATCATTACAAAGTGCAATGCTTTGCATAAAAAATTCAATAAACTACGATACAACTTCTAAAAGTAAGAATTACAATAAAATATATTAGATACACCTTCCTCGTGATAATAAATTTTTGAAGACAAAATTATTAACAAAGACACTTTAGACGTGAAAGTACCCTTGTGAGCTTGAGTCCAAATGAGCTTGTATGAACAATAAAATCGTTTTTTTTAAATATATCAAAACATTCTGAATTTTTTCTGTGGTAAAATTTGACAATTCTAAGTGTTTGGACATTTACATCATGAGATCACATTCGAGGAAGGCGTGAAAAAAAAATCAGTGCTCCAAATGTTTTCGAAAGTAGCATTTTTGGAGCATCTTTTTTTTTCACGCCTTCCACAAATGTGATCTCATAATAAAAAAATTCAAGCACTTAGAAAATTTGTCAAAGTTTACCATAAAAAAATTCCAGATTTTTTATTCTACTGTTCTTCCAAGCTTATTTGAGTTCGAGCGATACTCCACGTCCCTTTAGACACTGCAATTAGACCAGAATAGCGAAACGGCTACTTCGGTTATCAAACTTCAAAAAAAGAGAGAGAGGGAGAACCATAACTAGGCTTTTTTTTGTTAGAGATAAGTATGGGGTAAGCAGCTTTTTATTTTAGCAAATGGGTTAAGCAGCTGTGATGCCCATAACTCACTTGGGCCAAACTGAGAAGGCGGGGGTGCCAGGCGCTTGGTTGTAAACGGGCCGATCAGTAAGGCGAAGCTGCGGCGTTCCATTCCAACACGCCGCCGCGTACAGCCCAGCTAAGCAGTGTAGGGTTTAGCCCCCGTCTCCCCTCCCCCCCTGCCGTGCCCCATCGCACACACCCCGCCGCAATGGCCGCCGTCGCCGCCGCAAGATCCTTCCTCCGATCCGGATCTGCTGCCTCCTCTCTCCGCGGGGCTGCCGCCAGAGCCGCCCCCCGCGCTGGCTCAGCTCCGCTCCCGAGGCGACTCCCGGCCTCTGCTCCCCGCGTGCTCCTAAGGTACGAGCGCTCTTGGTTAGTGGTTCTCTAGGAGCATTCGTTTTGCCACTTGATCTGGATGAAAATTTTGGTTTCCATGTTTCGCCATCTGTAGGTCACCGGTGGAGATGACCAGCTTCTGCGTGGAGTCGCTGATGCCCATGCACAGTGCCACGGCGTCGGCGCTCATGACGTCGCTCCTTGCCACCCCGGCTCGCACTGGGTTTGGTTGGCTTACAGAAGGTGATTTTCACATTTCTATGTTTTTTTTCGCAATCTAAGATGGCTTATGTCACGATGCATGTTTGTCTATTGCTATCTACTGTTGAGCAGACTAGTTTTAGTTGTTACGGACTGCAGAGTAGAGTAGTTTTGGGCTGATCACAAGCGCGTAAGTCTCTGCGCTAGATCAATTTTGTCTTCATAATCAGTCTGATGGTAATATGAATTTGATGTGTGTTAGTTGTAATTGTGCTTTTAAACCTGTCCTAAAACAGGCTAATGTTGCATTCTCATGCTGTCATTACATTTTGACACCATATTTTTAGAGTGTTGCAACTCTCAAGTGCCCATTTCATAACCATACTGTAATTTTATCTAGGGGGAGAGTCCACAAACTTATGTGATGGGAGTCATTTTTCTGTAGATAAAAAAATTTCAAAATCTGATGATTAAATTTGTCGTGTTGAAACCAATCTTATACTTCCACATGGTCCTTGTTGTAGGTCAGGACGAAACTAGATGAACATCAAGCCCCAAAAGGTGAATAAACTAATAGCTGTTGATGATTAAGTACCTTCATTAATTTATAGTTCAGAGGAATTCGTGGAAAGAGGAGACCACTGCACTTATTTGAAGGGGTCGGTTATTGAATAGATTGTTTGTAAATGAAAATCATAGAGGCCCTGCAAAGTGTGTTGCCATCACAAAAAAATGGTGCACGGCAATAAAAACTTCAAAATACCTTTTGGCTATTATTATAGTTGTCGACCTTTTGGCTATACCAGAGATCATTTGCTTTGCAAAAGTTTCCCTTTGATTAGGTGAAGCTGTATGTATATTTAGTCTTTAAGCAAATATTGTTTTGAATATTCACATAGTCATGAGTGACACATTTGAGGCAAAGGGGTCACTGATTCTTTTGTATTGACCCAGCTGGCAATGATGACGTGTGACAGTTTCTAGGTGGAATGTAGCAGATTATAATCTCCTCACCTCAAATATTCAGGTCTGATCATATTTTAAGGAGTATCCATAATAGTATATGTTTGTAGTGTGTTTCATAAATTCTCCTACCGTTTGACTTGCACAAGAATGCAAGGTGAAGATGCTTAAAAAAATCAGATCTGAAAAACCATGTCATTTTTTTCACGTGGTAGATAAAAACTGTACTCAGCCATGGACATAGCAACATAGAAATTTGGACTTGGGTCCACTCCTCACTTCCCCATTCATCTGAAAGCTATTGCATCTTGATCAAGTTTCTTTTGAATTTAGTCATTAGTATCATTCGATGAGTTTATAGAAGTTACTTTACCGAATATAAGAAGAACATTAATCTGTTTGGATTTTGCCTCCATTATTTGAAGAAATGCTAGCAATTATACTTCGACCTCTTGCAACACAATGCAAATCTACATACTTAACATATGCTGGATACATATTACTCCCTCTGTAAAGAAATATAAGAGTGTTTAGATCATTACTTTAGTGATCGAAACGCTCTTATATTTGTTTACGGAGGGAGTACTTTTATGATTATTGTCCGCAAAAAAAACATGTGTGCCTTTCCTTGTAGCCAAAAGAATGTTTGTTTGACCCATTTTTTTTTATCTCTGTAGACTTGTGAGTAGTGACAATGGAGGTTCTCTGGGATGAAGAACACATGCTTTTTATTTTTACGATATGTATCTGCTTTATTTTGCAAAGTGGAACTCATGGACACGGCGCAAAGTAGTTATTACGGTTGTTACATTTATAATGTCAGTTGAAGAGTTGGAGCTTAGATTATTCGTTTCTATTTGTAGATGGATGATTTCTTCTTGTCGGAGCCTGCTGTGATGGTACCTGGTACGGACCTGCCAAATTGAATTTGAAAGTACTCTTTGGTCGCCTTCTAAGTCTGTACTATCCTGGGATTTTCGTTTGTATAAGTATGTACGGGATTGTTATACCTGATTATGCCAAGATTTAACCGACTTGGTCTGATTATGCCTTTCGTGGAAAATAATAATAATGCTTAGTTGGAAGTTTCTGCTTTGTTTTGCTTCTGTTCTTATGTTATCAAGTCGTTGGAGAAAATGTACTCCAATCCTATCTCTAGCTCTCCGTACCTGCTTTTAATTTTAATGTATTTAGCAATTTATGCAACCTGGCCTTAACTGGACCATTTTCAGTCTATAGTTCCAGTCGATCTAACGATCACTCGTAAATAGACATGATAAAGAGCAACTTGCCATTGTTCGAGCTAGCTCATGAGTTGGCTAGATTAGCTAGCTTTTCCTCTCGTGGTACTTTTGATGAGGCCCTTAGTGCCAGGGTGGGTTTTGGCCCAACGGGATGTTTTAGCGGCTGGGTTTCGGCCCAAGTTATCTTGGCCCATGGAAAAGTCTTTTCTTTGCTTATATGAGTTTTAAGCTGCTGGGCCGAATGAGTGATGGGTAGCCGTGGGCTATGGGGCTAAAATTAAAGTTCTGTGCGTTTTCTGTTTATTCAGTGTATTTTAGTATTATGATTATTCCCAAAATGTTTTGCACTGTTATAAATATAAATTTGCCAGAAAAATGATGTTGTAAATTACGTTTAGTTTTCTGAATGAAATGGAACCAACGAGAAATTTTATTTAGAGAACTCTTATGACATTAATGTTTGTGTCATTTTATGGCATATTAATGTGATCATTTTGTAATACAGACCAACGTTGTTTTACAATTTTGAATCACACCATTCATTCCTTATTATTTTCTGCCCAATGGTGATATAACCTTATTATTTTCTGCCCAATGGTGATATAATTTGGACTTAATTTTTGCATGGAAATTGATCAAACCAACGCAGGTTAATTTTTGTGCAATTTAATTTAATTATGATGTTCTTTTCCTTTACTTATGATATTTTCAATTCATGACAACTTCCAGTCCTCGTGGTCTCGAGATCGAGCCACTTACTAGAAACAACCTCCAAACATGGAAGGACTCGTTGCTATTGCATCTCGGCTGGCATAAGGCTGACCTTGCGCTGAGGGAAAGTAAACTAGTGGAACCTAAAAAGGATGTCACTGGGTATGCTGAGCTTAAGAAAGCCTATCATGCTAAAGTTGAGAAGTGGGAGAGGTCAAACAGAATGGCGCTCTCAATTATGAACTTCTCCATCTCGACTGAGATTAAAGGGGCTATTCCCGCTAATGAAAGTGCCGCGGAATATTTGAAATCGGTGGAAGAACAATTTAATGGCTTGGAGTAAGTGTATGTAGATGAGCTTTTGCATAAGTTGCTTGCAAAATATGATGGGCACGGAAGTGTGAGAGAGCATATTTTAAGTATGAGCGATGCCGTGGCAAAGCTTAAAATCATGAAGTGTGACTTGAGCGAAGAGCTGTTTGAGCTCCTAGTTTTTAGGTCACTACCCTCACAGTTCAATCCAAGATAAACTATAATTCTCTTGAAATCAAATGGAAAGTACGTGAATGCATTGCACATTGTGTTTAGGAGGAAGAGAAAATGAAGAGTGAGCAGAAAGAAGATCAAGCTTTCTGTGTTAACTCTATAAAGAGGAAGCATGAGAATAGTGTTCATAACAATAATATGCCCAACAAAAAGCAGTTTTCCAAAAAGAATCCTTCAAAGCCTAAGCAATGCAATGAGGCAAGTTGTTCATGTCCCGCTTCTTCAACGGCTGCTCTAGTAGATCTTAAAAATGTCGGTGGAGAAAGACTTTGCAATTTTTGCAAACATGCAAATCATTCATACTCAAGAAGTATCAATCCTTCTCCGAAATTGTGGCATCGTTGCTTGGGCCACATTTCGAGGGGAGAATGAAACGATTGGTTAAAGTGGAGATACTTCCTTGACATGATTTGGTTGTTTGCAAAAATTGCGAAGTCTTTCTCCAGCGGTATTTGTAAGATTTACTGGAGCAGCTACTGAAGGAGCGGAACGTGAACAACTTTCCACATTTCATTGCTTAGGCTTTGAAGGATTCTTTTTGGAAAACTGCTTTATGTTAGGCACATTATTGCTATGAGCATTGTTCTCATGCTTTCTCTTTGTAGAGTTAACATGAAAAGCTTTATCTTTCTGCTCACTCTTCATTCTCTCTTCCTCATGAACGCAATGTGCAACGGGTTCAAGTATTTTTCATTTGATTTCAAGAGAATTATAGTTTATCTTGAATGGATTGAATTGTGAGGGTAGTGACCTAAAAATTAGGAGCACAAGAAGCTCTTCGTTCAAGTCACACTTCATGGTTTTAAGCTTTGCCGCGGCATTGTCCATACTTGAAATATGCTCCCTCACATTTTCGTGCCCATCGTATTTTGCAAGCAGCTTGTGCGAAAGCTCATCTGCATACACTTACTTTGAGCCCTTAAATTGTTCTTCCACCAATTTCAAATATTCGGCGACACTTTCATTAGCGGAAATAGCCCCTTTAATCCCAGTCGAGATGGAGAAGTCCACAATTAGGAGCGCCATTCTGTTTGACCTCTCCCACTTCTCAACTTTAGCATCATAGGCTTTCTTAAGCTCAGCATACGCAGTGGCATCCTTTTTAGGTTCCACTGGTTTACCTTCCCTCAGCGCGAGGTCAACCTCATGCCAGTCGAGGTGCAATAGCAACGAGTCCTAACATGTTTGGAAGTTGTTTCCAGTAAGGATGAAAACTGGAAGCTGTCATGAATTCAAAATATCATAAGTAAAGGAAAAGAACATCATAATTAAATTAAATTGCATAAAAATTAACTTACGTTGGTTTGATCAATTTTCATGCAAAAATTAACTCCAAATTATATCACTGTTGGGTAGAAAGTAATAAGGAATGAACGGGGTGATTCAAAATTGTAAAACAACATTGATTTGTATTACAAAATGATCACATTAATATGCCATAAAACGACACAAACATTAATTTCATAAGAGTTTTCTAAATAAAATTTCTCGTCAGTTCCATTTCATTCAGAAAACTAAATGTAATTTACAACATCATTTTTCTGGCAATTTTATTTATAACAATGCAAAACATTTTGGGAAGAATCATAATACTAAAATTCACTGAATAAATAGAAAATGCACAGAACTTTAATTTTAGCCCCATAGCCCACGGCTACCCATCACCATTCGGCCCAGCAGCGAAAAAACTCATATAAGCAAAGAAAAAACTTTTCCATGGGCCAAGAGAACTTGGGCCAAAGCCCAGCCGCTAAAACAGCCCGTTAGGGTTTCAAATTTTCGGTTTCTACGGTTAGGGTTCATCTGAATTGGGAAAAAATTGGGGCTTTCTTTTTATTTCATCATGTTCTAATTGCTAACGGGAAGTAAAACCCGTGCTAATTTACATCTTGAAGCGGAAACGTGGCATATTTAAACTAACAAAACTTGTTAATAATCATAAAAATCTAGCACCGATCCAGTAGCAGATTACCATTATTTGATTTAATCCCGTAGGATCTACTTAACAGGATATGCCTAGTCATTAGATCACCTAATTGCATAATGAGTAGAGAGGTAGATTAGGATCTTACAACCAATGGAAGCAGCCATTGGTGTAGTCTAAGTCCCGTGTCTGCTCGATGCAGGCTTGATGCAAGCTTGATGTAGGCTCGGGGTATAATCCAGATAGAACAGAATATGGTTTCCCGCAAAAGAAAAAACAGAATATGGTAGTTTTGTATATGAAGCGGCATCGGTTCGTGCGCCGCTCTGCACCCCTAGTGCAACGAAATTGCAAATGGTGCATGGGCACCATGGTGCCCTTTTCCAAAAATATATTCTAAAAGGTAAAAAAAATGAATTTTTTTGTACACAAAACGTGCATACTATGTATGTGCAAATTTTGTCAACATTTTACTTTCACACATGGCGTACAAAGAAAAGACAAATATTATTTTTTCAACATTTTGTTTTGGTCGGAATTTTGTTTTTTTACAGCTTACAAATTATTTATTTTCAAAACAAAATTTCATGAATCCGTAGTGAATACATACAAGTTTCCATGGATATTTTTCTGATTTTAAAAACTTCTAAATATGTTTTTATTTTTTCAAAAAAGAGCCACCATAACTTCGCACTTGTTATTACAAGCGATGCATATGAAACTATGGGACGGAGGGTGTAACGTACCACTTCTAAAACCCTAGCCTAGTTGCTGTTACCGTTTAGGCTAGGATTTTTTTTGTGTGGAATAAAATAAATGTTTGAACAAATTATTTTTATCTTTAGCATTTTCATATCTGGGTTCATGCCCATTGAAAGTGCACTAGTACTAGTTAGGAGTTACATGGACTCGTATCCATCTTCTACTCGAAATCTAGCCCACTCTTCATCCTTTTCCTCTAAACTGGTGATACAAACTCACTTTTAATTTCATTCGAACTCAAGCCCAGCGACCCAAGATAGCCAACCGTCCTGCTCAGCTCCAATACGTTTCCTTGGGTCCGGAAGGTTCCTTTGGGCGACCAAATACAAACCAACTTGTGTCAAATTCGGATTCCAACTTTGGCTTCGAATACTAGAAAGAAACCCAATCCCATGGAATTCTAGTCGACCTAGCGTAGCTCCAACCGACCTAGGGAGAACATATCCTATGCACCAGGCAAATCTGTGCACCCAATGCACTAGTAGGTTTTGGGCCAGTAGATGAAAAAGGAATGGCCCAGATTTGATCACCAATTAGACTATACCATTTTTGCAGAGGCCACCCTTCACTATAAAAATTGACCCGCACTTCACATCTCTCACTTCTATAAACATGTACGTTCAGATTTTTTTGGCTCAAACACAGAAAGGGTGACCGAATGTCTGATTTTGGATCGGTTTTGACTGTGGTATTTGTCTTGACAAGACCTTTGAAACAATATCAATGTTGAATATATTTTGAAAACATATTTTTTGTTGCTTTTTAAACTATACTCAAACTTGATGTATGGCAAAACATCTCATTAAAACAAAGATGTCAGTCAAAACAGTTCGAATTCAGACATCTGATTCAAAATATATGACCTATTTTTATTTGGACAGAAAACAATAAGCAAACAGTTTTATTATGGAAGACTGAGAATGTGAGATATGGAGTGTGGGTTAATTTCTAAACAACAGAAGGACTATTTTGCAAATGTACCAACCATCCATCTTTCTAGCCAGCTCATCTTCCTCTATTTTCTATCCAATGTCTCATCTAGCATCGGTGCATTGGGTGCATGAATTAGGCCAGTGCATTGGGTGCATCCTCCTGACCTAGGACCCTTATAAATACCTCCCCTACATCCCTAGGCTCCAAATAGACGAAACCATAGCTCACAAGCCACCCAAAGTCGCCACAAAGTTGATCTTGCAAAAATCGTGAGACAACAGGAAATTGTCCCGTAACCCGTCTGTTCGAACATCTTCTTGAAGAATCCTCCATTAGATTTCTATATACATAATTGAGTCTACTCCGTGCGTGGAAAATTTAAGGGCGATCCAACGGTGCAAACTCCCTTGACGTTCTGTTGAGATTTGTCCAGGCAATTTTTCTGCAAGTTCAAACTTCCGATTTGCAATTATATCCTTAGTTTTTTTTGCATCGCTAGATCTTTCTAATCTAATCTCCAGGGAGTCATCAATCTCTCCCTAAATCGTTTCTCTAATCCGTGCAACAGGGAGTCATCAATCTCTCCCTAAATCGTTTCTCTAATCCGTGCAACCAAATTTGATCACCGAGGTCTGCTTCGAGCCACTATATCTGATAAAACTGTCCAGATTTTCACCGGTTTTGCAAGCAGCCTAGCGAACGACTCGGTATGCCAAGCTTCAAACCCTTTGGGCTGCATGGATTGGAGAAATGTAATAGGGAGGGATTGAAGACACCCTAAGATCATATTAGAAAGGTCTAACGATTTAAAAAATACCAAAACTAAGGATATAACTTGATTGCAAATCAGAGGTTTGAACTTGTAGAAAAACTTGCTGAACAGGTCCTGGTAGATTGGACGTCGCGGAAGTTTGCACTGCTGGATCACCCTCAAATTTTGCGCGCACGGAGTAGACTCAATTCCTCAGAATTCCATAGGAGGATTCTTCAAGAAGATGTTCGAGTCACCGAGAACAGGTGGATTACATGACAGTTTCCTGTTGTTTCACGAGTTTCGCGATATCAACCTTGTGGCGACTTTGGGTGGCTCATGAGCTATGGTTTCGTGGGTTTGGAGCCTAGGAGCATAGGAGAGGTAATTATAAGGGTCCGGTTGGAGCTGCCCTAGGTTGACTAGAATTGGATAGGGATTGTGTTTCTTTCTTTTCTTGTATTCAAAGCCAATGCTGGAATCCAAGTTTGACACAAGTTGGTTTTATTTGGTCGCCCAAAGAACCTTCTAGAGCCAAGTAAACGTGTTCGAGCATAGGCAAAGATGTTTGGATGAAATTCATAGTGAGTATGGATCGCCGGTTTAGAGGAAAATGGTGATGAGTGGGCTTGATTTCGAGTAGAAGATGGAGACGAGTCCAAGTAACTCCTAGCTCAAGTACTAGTGCGCTTTCAATGGACTTGACCCAAGAGATAAAAATGCTAAAGACAAAATAAATTGTGCAAACATTTATTTTATTCCATGTGAAAAAAAATCCTAGCCTAAACGGTGACAACAACCAGGCTAGGGTTTGAAAAGTGGTATGTTACAGTGGGAGTATCTAATAAAGGGGTGTTGAGATGCTAAAAAAAGCAAGTATAGTTTGATCAGCAGGTTTGGAAAGCACTTGTTCTGATTAAGAGCGAAATAAGTCCACTCTTACACGTAGACCTGTACATACTCGTACTCCACAAGTGAGAAATTGTTGTCCTCCTTCACATCGAAGCTTGCCGGTTCAGTGACTTCAACAAGCCCCCGTTTGTCAACAGCTAGCTTCATTATCCCCTTGGGCATGCCAAGCTTTGCATCCCAAAGAATAACGGTGTTGCCGGGCTTCAGCATGTCAACTGTCAAACATATGTAATTTCTGTTGTTAGATGTTTGCCATGTAAAACCATGCTAACCAAAACAGTAAGACAATCATGCATTTGTCTAACTCTATGAAATGAACAGATTACGGAAGGATCTAATTTGCTACGTTCAGAAATTATAACCGTATACAAAGTAGACTCCTCAAATAAACATTTATTTATTTAATACTCTACGTCTAGTATTGTCTAGGATGGTCAATGTGATCAATCAAGGACAATACTCCGTGTCTCTGCCCGTATCCATACTCTGCAATTTTGCACATTAATTTAAGCATAAGCACGAGACACCCCGAGTCAAAGATTTAAACACAACAACACATGATGCCGGTTACCAGATGCTACGTATTTAGCAGATTAATTAATTACTAAGAAAAAGGGGGATGTATTACCCTGGTCCTTGCGGGCGGTAAAGAGGATGCATCCAGTCTCATCGCCGACGAGGCATTCGGCGATCCTCGTGGGCCTCGCCACCGGGCCAAAGCGGGTCACCACGGTCTTGGTCTCGGTCTTGATCTTTGGAGCTTAGCACCTTAAGGAGAAGCGTGTGGCCGGTCGACGTCCCGGGCCTGAGATCTCCCACCACCATGAACACTGGCGTCCGCTCTGCCGCCGCCGTAGCCATGGAAACGGAACAAGCAAACAGATAGAAACTCGAGGACGGATGATAAAGAGTTGATGCTACGATTACGACGAGTTGGGACTTTGGTCTGCCAAAACCCTAGAAGCGATGCTGTGAATTTATTATGGATGGTTACGAGTCTCAGTCCGTGGTCGAGGAGGACACAAACGATGGGGCGGAGGAGTTGTTATTGCATCAGACGTTGCCATTGTTATCCGTTTTGCTTTAATCTGCAAAAGGTGAAAAAGGCTCATCGAATCCAACGTCTTGAGGATCCCTTGAGCCTCAGGCTCTCAGCTACACAACGATGGACAATTTCCACGATTTTGCATCTTGGTTGTATTCCAAAGAGGTCGTCCGTATAGTCTTCGTGCTGCTTACCTCAGTTGATTTTTTTTTTGGCGGGAACTTACCTCAGTTGATTTGACCCGCCTTGGCTATTAAGCAGCCGAGTGAAAAGAAAAATTTACTGATGCCTATTTTTTCACTCGGTTGTTTCTGTAGATGTAAAAAAAAGGCAGTTGAGTGAAAAATTACGCATCAGTCAATCCGCATAGCCCCGAGGATGAGTGGGGGAGACCGCAGCCGAGCCAGGACCGCACCGAAGACGGGGCGACGTGGCTGGCTGTGGCGTCGTTAACGGGGGCGTTGGTGAAAAATTGAGAGGTTTGGGTGGGGGGCTTTTGCGTTTAGATTGCCGGTAAGATTATAAGCTTTAGGCTGCCCGCAAATCAGAGTATCAAAAGTGTATCATGCATATAAACTAGACATTTTTTATAAGATGACACATAATTAAATTAGACATTTTTTTATAAGACGACACACAATTAAATGAGAAAAGAAAGGATTTGTACCATGTCATGATATCATATAAAATGTTGTCTTATATTGTGTCATGCTTGATAATAAATGAGACAATCTAAGATACTACTCCCTCCGTCCCATAATATAAGATGTTTTTTAGCACTAGTGTAGACGGATGGAGTAACTTATAATATGCACTGTGAGGGCGTGGGCGAACCGCCGACGCCCTCCCCGCTGCTGCGCCAAGCCCTGGAGGAGAGAGCGGGAACCCTGAAGTGGAGCTGGCGCCCTCCTACTACGGGGCCATGTTGGTCATCTTCTTGTCGGAAGGCGAGAGAGAGGCCACCATGCGCTTCTTTCCCCTCACCTTCAACGACCACGACATCGACCTCGAGCGGCCTGAGCATGGCCCCAACCGGTTCGGCTGGCAGTACGAGTACTTTGTTGAGCTGTCTGCCGGTGGCTTCCCCCTGGAGCACTGGATGGAAGCGGGCATCAGGACGGCGTTCCGCTCCATCGGCAACATCTGCTGCATCCACCCCCACTACCTCTCCGGCTCCGACTTCTCTGCTGTCCGGTTCATCATCAAGCTGGAGCACATTGCGGATGTCCCGTTCAGGCTCCTCGTGCGCAACTTCTCCGGCGACGAGGCGGCCGATGTACCGCTTCGTGTCATCCGCTCGTGGACGGTCGACGAGGATGGGTCGTCACACTCCTCCGTCACACCGCGCGGGTCGCCTTCCAGCTCCCACTCCCTCCGCTGTTCCATGGGTGGGCTGCGGCGCGATCCTCTTGTTAGAAATATGCCCTAGAGGCAATAATAAAATGATTATTATTATATTTCCTTGTTCATGATAATTGTCTGTTATTCATGCTATAATTGTGTTATCCGGAAATCGTAGGGAGGGCAGCCGCACCCTAGTCCCTGGCGCCTCCCTCTCCCCCCCGTACCACCTCTCCGTCTCGCTGAGCTTGGCGAAGCCCTACCGAGATCACCGCTGCTTCCACCACCACGCCGTTGTGCTGCTGGATCTCCATCAACCTTTCCTTCCCCCTTGCTGGATCAAGAAGGAGGAGACGTCCTCCCCAACTGTACATGTGTTGAATGCGGGGTGCTGTCTGTTCAGCACTAGGATCATCGGTGATTTGGATCACGACGAGTACGACTCCCTCAACCCCGTTCTCTTGAACGCTTCCGCTCGCGATCTACAAGGGTATGTAGATGCACTACTCTCTCTCGTTGCTAGATGAACTCCATAGATTGATCTTGGTGAAGCGTAGAATTTTTTTATTTTCTGCAACGTTCCTCAACAGTGGCATCATGAGCCAGGTCTATGCGTAGTTTCTTTGCACGAGTAGAACACAAATTTGTTGTGGGCGTAGATGTTGTCAATCTTCTTGCCACTACTAGTCTTATTTTGCTTCGGCCGCATCGTGGGATGAAGCGGCCCGGACCGACCTTACACGTACGCTTACATGAGACAGGTTCCACCGACTGACATGCACTAGTTGCATAAGGTGGCTAGCGGGTGTCTGTTGCTAACATGATTCGGACGGACTTCAGCTTCGCTACGGGAGAGAAAGTCTCATCGTAGTCAACCCCTTGAATTTGCCGATAACCCTTAGCGACAAGTTGAGCTTTATAGATGGTAACATTACCATCCACGTCCGTCTTCTTCTTAAAGATCCATTTATTTTCTATCGCTCACCGATCATCAGGCAAGTCTATCAAAGTCCATACTTTGTTTTCATACATGGATCCTATCTCGGATTGCATGGTTTCAAGCCATTTGTTGGAATCTGGGCCCGCCATCGCTTCTTCATAGTTCGAAGGTTCACCGTTGTCTAACAACATGATTTCCAGGACAGGGTTGCCATACCACTCTGGTGTGGAACGTGTCCTTGTGGACCTACGAAGTTTAGTAGCAACTTGATCCGAAGTACCTTGATCAACATAATTAATTTCCTCTCCAGTCGGTGTAGGCACCATAGGAACATTTTCCTGAGCTGCACTACTTTCCGGTTCAAGAGGTAGTACTTCATCGACTTCTACTTTCCTCCCACTTACTTCTTTCGAGAGAAACTCTTTCTCTAGAAAGGACCCGTTCTTGGCAACAAAGATCTTGCCTTCGGATCTAAGGTAGAAGGTATACCCAATGGTTTCCTTAGGGCATCATATGAAGATGCATTTTTCCGACTTGGGTTCGAGCTTTTCAGGTTGAAGTTTCTTGACATAAGCATCGCATCCCCAAACTTTTAGAAATGACAACTTTGGTTTCTTCCCAAACCATAATTCATACGGTGTCGTCTGCCCTATTTAAAGTGAATGTAGCTGTCTCTAGAGCGTATCCCCAAAATGATAGCGGTAAATCGGTGAGTGACATCATAGATCACACCATATCCAATAGAGTGCGATTACGACGTTCGGACACACCGTTACGCTGAGGTGTTCCAGGCGGCGTGAGTTGTGAAACAATTCCACATTTCCTTAAGTGCGTACCAAATTCGTGACTTAAATATTCTCCTCCACGATCTGATCGTAAGAACTTTATTTTTCGGTCACGTTGATTCTCTACCTCATTCTGAAATTCCTTGAACTTTTCAAAGGTCTCAGACTTGTGTTTCATCAAGTAGACATACCCATATCTACTTAAGTCATCAGTGAGAGTGAGAACGTAACGATAGCCTCCGCGAGCCTCAATGCTCATTGGACCGCACACATCAGTATGTATGATTTCCAATAAGTTGGTTCCTTGCTCCATTGTTCCGGAGAACGGAGTCTTGGTCATTTTGCCCATGAGGCATGGTTCACATGTGTCAAATGATTCATAATCAAGAGACTCTAAAAGTCCATCAACATGGAGCTTCTTCATGCGCTTGACATCAATGTGGCCAAGGCGGCAGTGCCACAAGTATGTGGGACTATCATTATCAACCTTACATCTTTTGTTATTCACACTATGAATATGTGTAACATCACGTTCGAGATTCATCAAGAATAAACCATTGACCAGCGGGGCATGACCATAAAACATATCTCTCATATAGATAGAACAACCATTATTCTCGGATTTAAATGAGTAGCCATCTCATATTAAACAAGATCCAGATACAATGTTCATGCTCAAATCTGGCACTAAATAACAATATTGTGGTTTAAAACTAATCCCGTAGGTAAATATAGAGGTAGCGTGCCGACGGCGATCACATCGACCTTGGAACCATTCCCGACGCGCATCGTCACCTCGTTCTTCGCCAGTCTCCGCTTATTCCGCAGCTCCTGCTTTGAGTTACAAATATGAGCAACCGCACCGGTATCAAATACCCAGGAGCTACTACGAGTACTGGTAAGGTACACATCAATTACATGTATATCACATATACCTTTAGTGTTGCCGGCCTTCTTATCCGCTAAGTATTTGGGGCAGTTCCGCTTCCAGTGACCCTTCCCTTTGCAATAAAAGCACCCAGTCTCCGGCTTGGGTCCATTCTTTGGCTTCTTCCCGGCAACTGGTTTACCGGGCGCGGCAACTCCCTTGCCGTCCTTCTTGAAGTTCTTCTTACCCTTGCCTTTCTTGAAACTAGTGGTTTTATTGACCATCAACACTTGATGCTCCTTTTTGATTTCTACCTCCGCTGATTTCAGCATTGAAAATACTTCAGGAATAGTTTCACCATCCCCTGCATATTGTAGTTCATCACAAAGCTCTTGTAGCTAGGTGGGAGCGACTGAAGGATTCTGTCAATGACCGCCTCGTCCGGGAGGTTAATGTCCAGCTGGGACAAGCGGTTGTGCAACCCAGACATTTTGAGTATGTGCTCACTGACAGAACTATTTTCCTCCATCTTACAACTGCAGAACTTGTCGGAGACTTCATATCTCTTAACCCGGGCATGAGCTTGGAAAACCATTTTCAGCTCCTCGAACATCTCATATGCTCCGTGTTGCTCAAAATGCTTTTGGAGCCCTGTTCTAAGCTATAAAGCATGCCGCACTGAACGAGGGAGTAATCATCAACACGTGACTGCCAAGCGTTCATAACGTCTTGGTTCTCTGGGATGGGTGCTTCACCTAGCGGTCCTTCTAGGACATATGCTTTCTTGGCAGCTATGAGGATGATCCTCAGGTTCCGGACCCAGTCCGAATAGTTGCTACCATCATCTTTCAGCTTGGTTTTCTTTAGGAACGCGTTGAAGTT